ATCATTACCATAAGGTTAGTTTTGATTAACCAATTGATTAAAACTAAGTCAATATTTATATTTTTCATGCAAATTAGGCTTTGTGTTAATTTTAAGTAGACTTAATTTGATTTTTTGGTTTTTCAAATATAAATTTTAAATGAAAATTTAACAACTTATGTGAATAATAATTGAAAAGTTTTTTCTTTCTAAATAAAATTATTGTTGAATACTTTAATTTGATAAAAAAATTTCAATTATTTTCTATATAATATGTTAAATTTTTATCTAAACTTTATATTTGAAAAGTTAAAAAATTAAATTAGGACTATTAAAAATGAATGAAAAAAGTTATTATAAAAAAAGTACAATAAATACATCCTTAATATCTACCTTAGAATACAAAATAAGAAAACTTATAAAAGAGTTATCCAAACACTAAAAAATTTTTATTTTTTTAAATTTTGAGTCTCAATAATAATAAAAAATTAATAAATCATTTTATTTGATGGTAGTAAAATAATGTTGTTACTTTTTGCTGAGAAAAAATAAATGTTGTTACGTTCTTTTCCATATGTAAAACGTTGGCTGATAAAATTATGCTCACGACCTTATCCAATTTTGCAGTGGAAAAAATATTAAAGCTGTCAAATTAGTCACTTTAACTTTGTCTAAAAGAAAAAAAAATGGGGACCTTTTAACTTCTATTCGTATGTTTATTTAGAGTATAAATTAAAAATGTAATAAATATATATTTTATAATTAATTTTTATTTAAAATATAAATATAAATTTTAATTAATTAAAATTATTTTTATATTAATAATATTAAATTTTATATTAATTTTTATAATTTTTTATATAAATTAATTATAAAAAATATATTTATTATGTTTCTAATTTAAATCCCTAAAACATAACTCAAGTATACCATTAACTTTATTCAATTTTGCAATGAAAAAAATGTTAAAGCTGCCAAATTAGCCACCTTTAACTTTTGTCGGCCAAAACTCAAAGCTGCTTATAACTTTATTCAATTTTGCGGGGGACAAGTTATAAATAATAGTAGTGAAAAAGAAACTAAAGCTGCCAAATTACGTAATTTAACTTTATTCTATTTGCCCGTGAAAAAGATAGTAAAGATGAGGTCATTGCCCCCCAAATGTTGATAATGTTACATTTTTTAATATAATTAATTATTATATTTTTTATTTTTATTTTTTAATTTATATTTTTAAATATAAATTAATTTTATATTTAAATTAAAGAAAATGAATAATTATTAATTTTATAGTGAAAAAAATATTAAAGCTACATTTATTCAATTTTACAATTAAAAAAATATTAAAGCTGCCAAATTAGCTACTTTAACTTTGTCGGCAAAAAACGAAGCCACTTTTAACTTTATTTAATTTTGCAGTGGACAAATTACTAATAATTGCAATGTATAACACATGATCCTAGAGACCCACTAACACTATTCAGTTAATCGGTGCATCCCTTTTTTTTTTTTTTTTCAGGTTTCGATCCTGCCTCTTTTCAAAATGTTAAAAAAAAAAAAAAAAATGAAGTGTATCAGAGAAATCCTTGCTCTCCTAGTGATCACGTGTTTTGTTGTAAAGGTATTCGCGTATGGGTTGGAGTGTGTGGTTGAATTTAAAAGAAAAAATAATAGCAGTGGAAAAGAAACCAAAGCTGCCAAATTACGTACCTCACCACCATGTGCTCAGTGCTTTCCGTGACCGCAGCTTCTCATCGAAAAGTAGAGTGGGATACCTCTGGAGACATGTACAGTTTAAGTTTAAATTTGGTACTTTTTTATTTTTTTTAAAAATAAATATTAATTATCAATAATTTAAATAATTCAGTGATTATATTTTTTTATTAAAAATAAGAGACTTTCAGTTTAAATTGCATAATATACTGATAAAATAAAATAAAAGATGAGAGATGATTATCTCTTTTTGTACAACCCAAATAAAAAAAAGAAAGAAAAGAACATATATTAATTATTGATGTAATTTTTACCGTAAAAAAAAATTACCAAATTACGTACTTTAACTTTAGGTAAAAATCATTTTTAAGCTCATAAATTATCTCAAATTAGCATTTAAGCCCTTAAATTAAAAGTGATGCAATTAAACCCTTCAACTCCTCAACTGGTGCAAATAAGCCCTTCAACTTAGATTTGCAGCAAAAGTACTGACACCTATATTAATTATTGATGTAATTTTTACCGTAAAAAAAAAATTGGCCAAATTACGTACTTTAACTTTAGGCAAAAACTATTTTTAAGCTCTTAAATTTATCTCAAATTAGCATTTAAACCCTTAAATTAAAAGTGATGCAATTAAGCCCTTCAACTTAGATTTGCAGCAAAAGCACTGACACCTTTATTATTGTTTGACACATATATTATTGTGTTCACACTCTAAGTAGTTTTTAGTTTATAAAACTTGTATTTTTAATTTAATTCTATTTTTTGGGTACTTTTCTTTGCTTTAATTAATTTGAAATCAATCCAAGTCAAATTTTATAAAGAAAAAGCTCTTTTAATATCTATCTTTCTATTTATAAGACTCAAATTTAAAATCTTACTTAAGAAAAACTAATTTTTTTATTTAAACCCCAAAGTTATTGAGAATTATGTCATACTTTTCTAATAGAGTTTTTTTAAAAAAAAAATCAAAATCTGGAGTTTAATTGTAAAATAATTACATATTTCATTTTCATTAATACAAGTTGAAAATATCACATACATTGTTCATGATTCATACATTCAAAAAAATAATGTATGTGGTATCTTCAACTTTTATTAGTAAAAATAAGATATGTAATTATTTTATAATTAAACTCCAAACTCTGATTTATTTAAAAAAACTTTAATAAAAAAGTAGAACATAATTCTCAACAACCTTTGGGTTTAAATAAAAATAATTTAGTTTTTCTTAAATAAAAATAATTTAGTTTTTCTTAAATAAAAATAATTTAGTTTTTCTTAAATAAAATTTCAAATTTGAGTTTTATAAATAGAGAAATATGTATTAAAAGAGTTTTTTCCATATGATATTTGACTTGAATCAATTTCAAATTAATTAGGGCAAAAGGAAGTACCAAAAAAAAAAGATTAAATTAAAAATACAAGTTTTTGTAAATTGAAAACTACTTAGAGTGTCAACAGAATAATATAGGTGTTGGCACTTTTGCTGCAAATCTAAGTTGAAGGGTTTATCATTTTTAGTTTAACAATTTAAATACTAATTTGACTAAGTCTAGGGGCTTAAGAAGGATTTTTGCCTTAACCTTATTCCATTTTCCCGTGGAAAAAATAGTAAAGATGAGGTTATTTCCCCACCATGTAGATAATGTTATTTACTTATTTTTTTAAATATATTTAGTTATTATATTTGTATATTAAATATTTTAATTTATGTTTTTAAGCACAAGTTTACTTTATTTTTAGATTAAAG